GTGACTGTATTCCCCAACTTCCTAGAATACAGCCTATTCCACTCTAGTGCTAATGGCACTATATCTCTGAACTGGTCCTAACCCAGAAAAATACAATAGAAAATGCTATTGATATTCTTAAAATAGCATCATTTAGACACTATAAAAATATTCTAAGATAAGTGGATATAGTGTTCTAGTGAGTGGATATAGTGTTCTAGTATCTTCTCCAACAAAACTTGTTCTTAGGACTGTCAAACACATTTCTAAGCCAAATAGTTTAGATAAAATATTTCCCTTCTCTTTTCTGGGAATTCGATCTCATGGTCTATGGAGGCAAATGCCATCAATAGTCTGGAGCCATTTTCTGTCATTCCTTCTGATCTTCTTCATAGAATACCACTTTCTCCTCCAGTCTCCTGACTCTTCTCCATATTGGCTGATTACTATTAATCACAGGATGCTAGCAAAATTACAGGGGAAGGCACACGCATTCGGTGATGTCCAGCACACTCTTCTTACAGTGGTGATTGGTTGTTACTCTTGTCAAATGCATCATTCTGTCCTCCCTCCACCCCAGTCTTTAGAACTACACCTAATTGGAGCCCAGAACTTGGGACCAGTACTTAATTCAAATAGCAGAGGCTTGCTCACAAGCTCTAAGTCCAACAAGAAGCACAGCACTTGAAAAGTCAAATAGGCCTTTGGTAGCTTTGTACATTTGCAATTTTACATTTGTTATTAGCTTATAGTGCTAATAACACTTCAGTCATGGATCTATAATATCAATAGATAAACCTTAGAACATATTTGAGAAATAGTGGTACTTGCTGCTATTATACTTACTAATTTATACCCTGATATTAATAAATAGTAAATACAGATTGCATACATTATTTATATTGTGTATATGCCAACTGTAATACTTAACCTCACTGATCAGCAATTAGAAAATACAGGAATTGTCATAGTGAAAATAAGTCTCGTTCAATTCAAATGCTACGTGAATCTGATAAATGCTGTCATAGGTATTACATTTTATCCTCTATTGCTTGCTTTACACCACAGTGCATGTTTTTTGCTAAGATAATAATAATAATAAGCTATACCAGTTTTAAGGTTAGGGTTAAAATGTTTGCATATATGCTGCTTGATACTGTGAAATGTATTTTGTGGCTTAAATTATCACGTCCCTACACATTTCACTTGGTTTTTTTCTCCTTCAGAAGTAATTGCAGTTATCTCTGCTATATCTTCTTTCTTATACCTTTGATAAAACTGCTCACTTCAACCTAGAACATTGTAAGGCCAGAATACCTCATTTTATCAGTGAAAACATTTTCATAAATATGATGACATGGTGTGATTTCTTGTATTTTATTTGCACATAAATAGACTTAAACCTAATAATAAATCTAAAACTTCAGCAAGCACTTTTACATTGTCTGGATGAACATTTTGTTTTTGGCCCACTTCTAATTTTGTGTTCAAGAGCTACAGACTCAGTGTCAATAAAATACCTTGTTACACAATATTGGGTGAAAACCTTCTCAGGCATGTCTAGAACACACTGAGATTAGCAAAACGTGCCTGCAATCCACAAGATAAACCGTGCATGAAACGTGTACATAGCCTTGTCACACATGCTTTTCCAAGCCGCATCCTTAGCACTTCAGTTATTGCCACTAAGGTTAGAGTAGGCCTTACAGACATCCATACCGACTTCCATGTTCTCCTCGCCTGACCACCATCTCTGCCCACATTCATCTGAGTGATTGCTGAATGCCCATGAATAGAGCGATACGGAGATTGTGTATTTGTGTGTGTGCAAAGAATAAATGAGGGTGGACCTGTCATTTCTGTGGCAATGCAGATTCCAATATTTTCCAGTTCTTTTTAGTAGAATATCTAAGACCACTTGATTTCAGTGAATTCTTGTCTTCTCTACCCTCTATGAAAATAATGGGTTGAGGTGAAAGTCCTTTGCATGAATTTAGCAAAGTCAAATTAATTCAAAGTAATTATTCATTTCCTATCATCAAATATTGGAACAGGTAATTAAGAATAATTACATGTCTGTTTATATTGCCCTATAAATTAAAAAACATAGTCATAGGCAGAATTTTCTGCTTGTATTTATAGTTTTTATTTAGTAAACCTACCATACTATCCTCTGACTGGTTTTAATAAGTACCACTTGCAGTCGTTCCTGTTTGGTCATTTAATTATAAATCATATGATGTAGAGAGGGCTAAGTCCAACCAGGCCTTGCTTATGTTTGGACTTAGCACGCATGGTGCAATTGCAAAGGTACTGCTAACCTGCCTCAATTTCTGAACATATACTTGAGCTGAGCTATTGCCTCTATAACAATGGAGCTCCTACATTATATATGAACTCTTTAATATCTAATCACAGATCAATTTATCATATTGCAAGTAGGTCATAACCTATCTAGTACAGAAGCTAAGAATAGGCATTTCAGAAATGCATAGACCTGGATTTTTGTCCCAACTTCATTGCAACCAGACTGTGTGTCCTCAGATAAATTAACATCTCTACATATATATAAAATACAGGGCTAATAATACCTAATATGAAGGGTTATTCAGAAGACCAAATAAAAAGTGTATGGAAACCATCCTAGCACAGAGCATGGTGCATAGTAAATACTCCATAGGCTTTGCACCAGGAGATGGTACTTTGCACCCACCTCCTCCAAATGGCACCCAGCACAATCCCTTCAACAGATTGAATGCAAACCTTCGTGTTGACTGGTAAATGACTTAGGTGGAAATAATTAATGAAAGATAAAGCAGATAAATTTGGACACTGATAAAGATTGTCAAAGCTCTTTGCATGGAAAATTCATGGGGGCTCTGTAGTCCAACATCAAGGCAGCTCGGTGCTTAGATGGGGTGGTTCATTCTGTGTGTGTTTGGGGGTGTGAGTGAGAGGGATTCATAGTCAGGGGTAAAGAGAAGAACAGAGTGTAAGGAAGGCTCTAGCCTTCGGGTTTAGCTATTGGTAGCTCCCACCTCTGGAAGGTTCCTAATCTGGAGGTGCTCATATTAGTATGTACTTCTGGACCCAGTCCCTGGAGAGTATATTTCTTTGTATCTTAAGGTATATCTCAGTAAGTGTGGCTACAAGTATGTATTTTGATGTGTACCCAGTTGGAGAATTAATGGACCAAAAATGTCTTGTTCAAAGAGTAGAATTCATGCCACAGCTGGTATCCAAGATAATGTGTGGTTGAAGATGGCCACATCCTTAAATAGCATTAATATCATTAATTAATCAATTCTGATTAGTAAAGAAGAAAGTCTCAGTTTAGTGATGAAACCTCTCTATCCCTCACTTATCAACCAAAATCCAAAATCCAAGGCAGTTGTTTCTAGCTAACATTTAATTTCATTTGTGTTATATTTATTTTGTGGGTACCTTTTCTTTACAGCAAGTTGTCCTAGGTTTTCAATAGTGACATACAATTCCCTTTCAAAACAAATTTATCTAAAGTCTTTTTAAAGAGTCTACTATAGAGAAGCTGTGGAAATGACCTAAGTATACGATACTTTTCAGGCTGAAAAAATGCAATTGATTCCACCTCAATTATGGGGCCTAAAAGTGGGTTTGGTACTCCTAACAGTCCTTGTTAGCTACCTAAATATATATAAACTACTACTGGAGATTGAAAATCATTTTTTTCCATAAGAAATCTTTCTTCATGTCTCCTGTAGAAATCCAAGCTGAACAATCTCTCTCCATGCTGTCTGGCAGTTTAAACTAGGCAAAGCAGAGTCTTAGAGTGAGTCACTCTCATATACGGCTGAACTTGGTAAATATTGAATTCATTCAGAGAGCAAATGCCATTTCTTGAGCTTTGAAAGAGATGTCCTTTTCTGTGAATCCCTGAGGTTAAGACGGCCTGAATGTCCTGGATTTTTGTTATGGTTTTCTTCCAAAGAAATTCTTCCTGATCAGCAGTATGTGTCTGTTTATCCCTCTGCATATCTGCTCACTAGGACCAAAGGAGTGTTGTTATAATATTCTCAAGACTTGAACCCTTTCATTCTCAGAGTGGAAGTTGCAAGGGAGGGACAATGGTCAAACCCATGTGCCTGAAACCTCACCCAGGAGGTTGGGTGGCCTGTACAAGCGCCAGCAGGACAAAAGCACTAGTCAGAACAGGGTATTTTCACAGCTGGGCAGTGTTTTTGGACAGGATGGGTGGGGAAGAGGGACACAGTAGTATCATCCTCTGTCCAGTGGCATCTTGCTAAAGGAAGCCGTAGGCAGGCAGATGGCTTTAATCTACAGGGGCCAAACACCTAAAGAGTAAAATCTATCTTATAAAGGCCCCAAGAAGCAAAGTTCTTACTGCAAAAGGAGGCCACTGAAAGAAGTTCTTTGTTTAACCTAAGAACTTGGCTGCTTTTGGCTTGGGCACTTTCCTGCCTTAATCTTCACTGGGCGTTTGCTCAGTCCAGGCCCATGGGGTCTCATTTTTGGGCCTCCATGAATTGTAAGGGGATCCAGAAGAAGACAGTGGCTGCCTTTTGCAAAAGCTTCTCCCACCAACAACCCGTAATGCGCTCTCAATCACTGATAGATGTATCTATTCAAAGAACTGCCAGATGAGTCTCACCATACAAGAATTCAATAGAAGAAAACTCCATTATTAAATGGGAGATTTGGTAATGTGATCTCCAAATTCCCTTCCAAGTTTGCTAAAATATAAGGGTGTAAAATTCTCCTCCCATGTATAACTTATTCTCAGAGCCTCTTATCCACTTCCCAGATCCAATTACAAGGTAACCACTTTTCTGGGTAACCAGTAGTAATCAGACTGTACTTTCTGCCCCCTACAGTCCTGCTATCTGATTTTGTCACCCTGCTCTCTGGATTTGAGCAGGACTAGGAGCCTGTCCTGCTGTGTAATGATTGGCTAGACCAGGCAGCTGAGACCAGCACAGACTCCCTCCTTCACATCTGTCAACATACCTGATTGCGGGCAAGTTGCTGCCAGTGACCACTCTCTGGGGGGCCAGAGAGTAGGGAAAGAAACGGAGAGGAATACCTCACTTTCAGGCTATATTGATGCTTCTTCCCAGCATCCCAAACTCTTCAGCAGGTGCTGGGACAGCCGTGAACTCTTACAACTGAGTCAGGAAGGAAGCCGAGAGGAGAGCTGGGACTGAAAAGCAGTCGAGGTAAGTGATCTGTCTGATCATGGCTCCTTCTCTCCAGATTACAAAACAAGAAATCTGCATAGCCTTATGCATAACCAGAGTGTCTCTCATGATGGTCTGCTGAAGGCGAGGGTAGGTGTGAGTGTGTGTCGGGAGAATTCAATCATTGGCCATCTTCTGCAAAGCGAGCCGTGCTTCCTTTCCATCTTCTCTTGTTGTTCCTGTACATATTTCAAAAATTTGGGAGGCTTTTGAAAAAAATCTTCCATTATCACAAGTTACATTGGTGATTTATTGAAATGTTTCCATTAGCGATGGCTCCACAAACATGATTTTGTTCCAGAATTTCACTTGTATGAATTTTTTTCCACTTTCAAGATACACCAGGGTGTGCATATAATTCTGAGGAACACGCTGTTCATTCAGAGGGCGGTCAGCCTATCATGTACGGAGTTAAGTGCATTTTTCTACTTTGGAAGCCAGAGAGTTAAAAGTCCTGAAATTACTGGAGCAGAATCAAGCCTATTTACCTAAGCTTATCACACTGGGCAGCCAGGTCAATCATTTACTGAGGCAAGGCTGTTTCCTACCCTGCACAGAAGACCACCACAGGCTTTTCCTCACTGAAACTTTATGGAATAGAACACGGGAAATAGAGAAGGAACCTTTGTCTGAAGCTATAGCCTATATTTTCTTCTACCAGAGTAAGTTTTTAAATGATTTTTTATCCTACCAGAGTAGTAAATGCCACAGGTCCCTCTAAGCTCAGTAAAAAAGAAATAGGAGTAAGATTCATACACAGAGCTGATACCTGAGCTGACCTCAAGAACAAGAGCTGCGGCTTCGAGACAGCTTTCCCTGTCGCTGGAGGTCTGCAGGGAAAGACGCAGACTGGCTATAGAACAAGTGGTTAAATGGTTCTTGAGGGAAAGTGAGGTTACAAAGTAATCACAAAAAAGTCCTTTGAATTTTTCCCTTTCAAGTCTATTTATTCTGGAAATATGTTATTTTTAATGAACATAATCCATGTTTTAGGCCCAGAACTCCTCTAATTTCAGCACTATTGTCATATTATTACCACATACACTTGTCAGGACTGTGCAATAACTTCTGGCTCTCAATTATTGATTAGAAACCTGGTGATAAGGAGACCCTATTTTTCTGAACTCCCTTTAGCAAAGGGATTGGGCCCTATATTGGACCAGGTAATGTTGGACTCTATTTTTGTCAACCATTTATAGAACTGACATGACTGTCCTCAGGTAAGGTTTGTGGCCTGAGTGTTTAGCAGCTGAGGTGGTTAACTAGATGTGAGAGTAGAGGCCATGGTAGATACAAACCTATGTGTGATTTGGGGTAAGTCTGTGACTACTTAACAAGAATTATGGAAAATTGAGAATTTTCTGTGACACTATTAAGTCCTATAAAATGGTAACTGTGAGTCTGGTGGGCATCCAAAGCCGGTTTGTAGATACTAATGATGGAGATGGTTTTGAAGAAGGCAAAGGGTCTCAGGGTGCTCAAATGTGTTGACCACACTCACCCACAACACTGTAGCCTGCATTAGGGACAGATGCACAGATCCCACCTGTCCTTGTGGGAAGCATCTGTCTCAAGGCCTAAGCACACTGGAAGTCCCTGAGGGTAGACCCAGATTTTCTTTCCATTTCATGTATACTGGGGAGTAGGTAAAGGGAGATTATCCTTGAGATTGACTGCAGTAGAATAGCCATTGTTACTGCTTTTACATGTTAGGAGGCTAGAAAACAGAAGTCAATTAATTGGCCCCAAGAGTCTGAGGCAGGATTCTACTCAGCTCTGCCTTGTTGCCATCCCAGTGCTTTTCCCATGAGGTCATGGAGTTGAGCACAGGGAGAAGCAAAATTGGGAGGTCACCTAGGTAAGCAAGGCTGACTCCACAGTTAGAGGTTCTCCACCGACCCTTGAATATGCCAGGCCTGAGGCCAGGTGGATCCCACAATAAGCAAAAGGTCAGCATTAGATTGGACTAGACCTTCTTGGAGGGGAGGTAAAACGGAAACACAGGCAGGGAGCAAAAGGGATTTTTCTAGGGGGGCCAGTCACTGGAGTCATCTTGCTCCTACATATTTCCTAAGTAAACCAGATCTCTGCACCTTTCTACTCCATAGACACAAATAGCCTCAACTAGCATCTTACACCTTAACTAATTCCAGAGAAAGAAATGACCCTATCCCAGTCCTTCCCCAGGAACTCCAGAATTTAATTACTATTTCCTCTCACCTCAGCTAATATCCACTCATCTAAATCCAAGCAAGAAGAACCATCAATAGGCATCATACCAAGGCTCCAGCCATGTGCAACCCAAAGAGACCGTGTTGGCCGGGGGGCCACATGGCTTGCTGGTAAATGAGTAATGTGCAGGAAGGAGCCTTCCTTTTCACCCCTGCCCCTGGTTTCACTTTTGTTCAGAAATGCCCTAAAAATTCCACTAGCTATCTAAAATAAATTCCAAAGTAGCCTCCATCCCTGAGCACTTACGTGATGAAGATAAATAAATTCCATCATGAAATGTGGCTGGCTAAACACGTTTGAACAAAGGACTTTCCTGGCCCGCCTCGCACATACCTCCAGAGTACGATAGCAAAGGCATGACAAACAGGGATTGCATCACCCACCACGTCCACGCCTTCCTAGATAACTGGCCCCACGTGAGCTGCATCACACACTATCATTTCTATTAACTGAAACACCCGGAGAAAGAAAGAAATTGATTCTAAAACACATAGCAATGTTTTACCTTCATCAAGTGCTTATTATGAGCAAGAAATGAACTATTGCCTTATTATCTACACTTTTTAAAAAATTTAATTTTCATAACAAATGCAAATCGCCCATGGCACAGATCTACTAAGATGAGGTGAATTTGAGTTGAGGCGTGTCTATCTCTAAAGCCCGGGTCTTTAGCATTCTGTTCTGGGACGCCTACTCAACGGGGGCTACACTGTTCACGTTTCAAGTGCCCAAATGTAAAGAGTCCTTTGCAAATTATTTAGAATATTTGTCTAGCCCCCCTCTCTGCCCTCACAAAGTGTTCTCAACCCTGTACTGGCATAAAACTCCACATCACTGTGGCTTTTCTCTCCTCTTGGAAAGCAACCACAGAACACACATACACGCACATGTGTGCATACACTCACACACGTACACACAATAACAATGACCTACAGCTCATTGTTTTGATTCCTTTCTGAAGGCGTGAAAGCTTCAGAATTGTTCTTATTTCCTGGTTTACAGACAATTCTTTGGTTGTGGGGGGAGGGCTTGATTGATTTTAATGCAATTTACATTACAGAAACAAGTATTTTATTTATCACATCAATATTTTTTAAAAATTTATTTCTGCAGTGAAATTTTAGTCTTTGAGAAAGCTAAATGTTTCAAAACCGTCCAGCATGTCAATAGTTTTATTTCGTCTTCATCACATCCTTGTAAGATAAGTACCATTTGGGGGTGATAGCCTTTCTGACGAGGAACCTGAGACTCCGGACAGATGAGTGCCCTTCTCAGTCTCACTCAGCCAACAAGTCCCATAGGTCTTGGGATTCCAAATTCTTTGTTCTTTTTTTTTTTTTCCTGATGCACAAGCATTTCTCTGGATTCCTAAGGCCTATAAATGGTAGGAATGAGGCCCACAGCTATTTGCAAAATTAAAAATGTCAAATGACTCCACCACCCCCTCTTGGGCTGTAGGGATCCACTCAAACATCAATTGCTTTGCTTTTGGCTAGCATTCTACCTGGTCAGGGTGATAATCCTGTTACTCCAATTAAGTTGTCATAGAATAATAAAAATAAAGATGCTGTTACTTAATAAAGTCTGTCTTAAAGGCAAAAATCTTTCAAGTCCATGTACCGTGAGCAAAACAAAATATCAAAGAGTTCTTGCTAAGAGAAAGGTAAGAAATCACCATCTTCCAATCTTTCGTGTGCCTGCAGAACCGTATATATATGTAAGGGCTACAGCTCCCACGGTGTTTCTTGATAAACACAAACCCTCTTGTGGTTATTCCTATAACTAGACGAATGCCCCTTGGGTCAGCCACCAAATGGTAGGGAACGTAAGCTAGTCCTTTTACAAACTGAGGATCTATTATAAGTATAGATTCAATGTCTATAGAAACCAGCTATAATTAACAAAAGGGAATCTTGTGCCCCATGAATTCTCTTTCAGTCCTAAGATGTTTGGAGGGGTCAGGGAGCCCCACATCAGTGCTGCGTCTGGAGGAGATTGAGTATTTTCCTATACCTAAAGCTTCCCTGGGAATTGCCTCTGGCTGGCTGCCTGAGTTTCCATCTCATGTGACAGTTTTGTGGACCACATCCTTGCTTTAGTGATAATGTGCACCCCCATTCTACCTTTGTCCTCCTTTCTGTGATCTCAGAGGTTCTGTCTAAGGCTCTTGGTGCAGAAGAATTCATTGTTTGAAGCAATGAGAAAACAGAAAGAATGAAACTTCTGCCCCTGCCCCATGGCAGCTTGAAAATTGTCCTATTCTCTGCAATTCCAAGGTCATGTTGCCCATGGGAGCAGTCAAGGAACTGAAAGTCACAAAAAGCTGGCAAATCATCATGCCTTGGACGGGTTCCCAGAAAGTAAAATGAAAATGAAATTTTTTCACATAAGACCTCTGTATTTTGAGGACAAGTTTCAAACAGTTTGAATTTGCAGTTTCACTGTGCACTGAGGTGACCCCCACAAAGTCCACTATGTTTTCTAAAGCCAAAACAGTATCAAAAATACTTCCCACAGAGAATTCTAAGTAGGCAGAATTCTTTTTTGTCATCGCTGGGCTGATGTTTTCAAGGGATTCATGTCTTAAGATAAGCCTCATATAGTGCATTTGGCTGAGGCACATGTGTATTGCTGTGGAATGATGGCTTTCATCCATGGGGCCTCCTTTGTGGTGATCTTATTAGGTCTCGCAAGGTAAACAGCTTACAGCTTGTGGTTAGTACACGAGCAGTCTGCAAGGGAAGAAA